GATGTGAAAGCTGAGGCAGAGAGTTTGAATGACTTGTTCAAGGTCAGTAATAGACCAGAGAATGCAAATCCAAATCTGTAAATTTCTCCTGACTCTCGATCCTTGGCTTTGACCATAATGTTGTCCTTTTCCCAGATTCAGAATTTAGTCATAGGAAGAAGTACCTAATATTGAACCACCAAAACAGATCTGCCCAAAACTTAAGTCCTGATGCTGCAAACACAAATACGTTTTACTTTACTATTGTGAGCAGTAATGACTAGTAAAGTTAAGCATGTGCATAAAAGTGTTTGCAGGATCAAGGCCTTAAGCTGTGGGATGTGATGAAGTCACAGCTTGATGGCACATCCCTATCTGCTTTGTGGGAATGCAAGGTTTTGAAATAATAATGAGTTCAAAGTGTCAAACAAATATATCTTTAGATATTTAGCAATTAGTAGGTCCCTAATAAAAAAGACAGGACTATTATTAGTTGATGAGCTATCACCTAATAAACCATCTTGTTAGTCTTTAAAGTGCTGCATAGTCTTGTCTTTTGTTTCAGCTAGACCAGACTAACACAGCTGCATCTCTATCCCTAATAAAAAATTGACCCATCAGAATGATGCTTAGATAATCTGGTAATGGTATCATAAAAATGCCTACTAGATAGGAACAGATACACTGATTTTGAAATATTTTTGCATTGAGCCTGTGATAAAAGCAACCTGAGGTTCAGAGAGTGTAGTACTTGACAAGTGTCCAGTAAGAGGCAGCATAACCATCTCATCACTGTGGAGTAAACACTTTAAGTTGTTATTGAATTGGTTAGGGCACCTGCCTGGTAGGTGAGAACTCCTGGTGCAGTTGCTCTGTTCCAACATTTATCCAGTGTGGCTAGCTTCAATAAGATAGATAAGACAGAGTATTTTATAACTCAGTTCATAGAGCCAGGGGCAGATGACCGTTTTGCAGGGCCCCGGGCAGCATAATTCCGCGGGGCCCCCCTTTGCCACGGCGCATGCGCGGGGCTTTCTGAAGCGCGGGGTCCGGGGCGGCCGCCCCGTTCGCCCTGCCCTATATCCGTCCCTGCATAGAGCACTTTCCTGGGATGTGTGGGAGGCCTCTGTTCAAATGCTTTCTCCTCAGGCAGAGGAAGGTGTGTCTCCAACATCCCAGGTGAGTGTTCTTAACTGTTGGGGTAAAAGTTATAAGGTAGTCATTGGAAACATCACCTCCTCATCCTCCATTAGCTGGTTTTTAATAGGATCCAGTCTGGTAGGCAGCTACGGAGCATGTCTTTTGGAACGGGCCTCACATTCAACCTTTTTGTGGTTTGTGAATTGCTCTGGGGCTTAGCTTGGAGTTTGGCATTTGGAAGCTTACTTGGAAGCAATAGTACATGTGCTTCTCTCAGGCATAAGTGCTAAGGGAACTTTTATCCTGAAAACTTAGGTGCCAAGTGAGTTTAGGCACCTCCAGGGTTTGACAGGAGTTTTGTAGCTTGCAATTGAGCCTAAAACTGGGACTTGGGCACCTCAGGTTTCGGCATCTAAATACCTTTATCAATCCCAGCCTAAACTCTACAACACTTTTGCTTATTTAAAGAAAAGTACTGTAGAGGAAAAGGAAAAAGGAGCTAGACTCAGAAATAGATAAGAATTAAATAAAAGGCCTTACTTCCAAACATTTTCCCACTTCTCAAATTATTTTAAACATAAAGGACAGAGTAATTCTTTTAAAAACAGAATATATGTTACTCTATGAACTTCAGTATGACTTCTCTTAGTGAGGGCAAGTAGTGACGTTTGAGCTGGATGATAAAGGAATTTTGAAAAGCTCTAGCAAGTTTGGATACAAGAATTTAAGAATCAAGATGACATTCAAACTTTGGACTGTTCTTCCTTCCTCACCCCAGTGATCCTCTTGCACCTTGAAGAGACCCTTGGAAGAATTTCTGAGGGATTTCATCAAGTTTCACCACACCATCAACCTCAGCCTGGATCAATCCACATGAGAGATCCACTTCCTTGACACTACATTACAATTAAGTAATGGACAAATTTCCACCACCCTATACTGGAAATCTACTGACTGCTACACTTACCTTTAGGGTAAGCGAGGTGTCTGGTTTTGAACCAGACAGTGCAGTATTTGAGATTTCTATCCGGGAAACAAATTGAGAAAATACCGGACATATAAATGTCTGGTATTTTCTAATTAAGTTTTTATTACTATTATGAGTATCAGTACGCAGTTGTGTACTGCCTGGCTGTACACAACACACTCACGCTGCGTGAGCATGTCTACCAACCAGGCAGTATGCAACTACGCAGTAGAGAGGAGGAGGGTGGGGCAGGATGGAATCCCAGAGCCAGACTCGCCTGTGCACCCCGCCGGGACCATGCGCGGGACGGGCAGGACTCCGGGATCTGCATGCACCTGGGCCAGCCCTGCTCCCTGCTGGCCAGTTCCACCTCCCCCCCACATCGCTCCCCCTGGCCCACTCCCGGCCAGCCCCACTCCCCCCCCGGCAGGTCCTTTCACCCCCATCTGAGATCAAGTGTGTCTGGTATTTTTTTAAAAAACCATCTGGTAACCCTACTTACCTTCATACCTCTAGCTTCTATCCCAGACACATTTCTCTATCTATTGTATACAGCCAAACCCTAAGATACAACCGTATTTGCTCCAATCCCGCAGACAGAGACAAACACCTACAGGATCTATGTAGAGCGTCCTTTCACCCCCATCTGAGATCAAGTGTGTCTGGTATTTTTTTAAAAAACCATCTGGTAACCCTACTTACCTTCATACCTCTAGCTTCTATCCCAGACACATTTCTCTATCTATTGTATACAGCCAAACCCTAAGATACAACCGTATTTGCTCCAATCCCGCAGACAGAGACAAACACCTACAGGATCTATGTAGAGCATTCATAAAACTGAAATATCCACCCGAAGAAGTGAAAAAACAGATCGATAGAGCCAAAAAAGTACCCAGACATGAATTACTTCAAGACAGGCCAAAAAGAGAAAACAACAGAATTCCACCTACAGTTCACAACTTAAATCCCTCCAACGCATTATCAACAACTTATCCTGGAAAATGACCCCTCACTCTTAAAAGCCTTGGGGGAAAGGCCAAACCTCGCTTACAGACAACTCATTAACCTTAAACAAATTCTTTCCAGTAATCATGCAGCATACCTCCACCATAATCATCCAGGAACCCACCCCTACAATCAGCCGTGGTACCAACTTTGCCCACCCATCTACACCAGCGATTTCATCACTGGACCCAACCACATCAGCCAGCAGATCCGAGGCTCATTTAACTGCACATCCACTAATGCGATCTATACCATCAAATGCCAACAATGCCACACTGCCATGTATATTGGGCAAACTGGACAGTCTCTGTGGGAAAGAATTAATGTACATAAATCAGATATCCAAAAAGGCAATACACAAAAATCTGTTGGAGAACACTTTAATCAACCTGGACACTCATTAATGGATCTCCAGGTCACCATTTTGTTTCAGGCAAATTCCGTAAGCCAAGTACACAGAGAAGGATTGGAACTTAACTTCATTTACAAGTTTAATTCTTTGTTCATGCCATTTGCATAAGACATCGGCTGGCTTGCACACTACTTTCCACATCCTATGACTTAACCTACCAACCAAATAATGAAGGTGTTAATGGTATCAGCCTCTTGTAACTATTTAGTCTTTAAGGTGCTACTAGACTATTTGTTGTTTTTTAAGTTTTTCCTGTTACAGACTAACTCAGCTACCCCTCTGAAGCTTATCTACTCAATGTCTCTCTTTTTTCTTCCTCCCCTCCTTTTTTCCTCCTTTTCTTTCTCTTTTTTTCCTTCTCTTTCCCCCCTTCTCCTTCCCTTATTTATTCTTGGATCTGGGCTTCTAACACTCCTGTCATCTGAAGAGGTAGGCTGTGCCCACATAAGCTCATGATACCATCTACATGTTTTGTTAGTCTTTAAGGTGCTACTAGTCTATTGTTGTTTCCTTGCAGTGGTTCTCAACTCGTTTCAGTCCATGGACCACCAGGCCAATCACAAAATTTTCGAGGGCCATCTCCTTTTTGAGACATGATATAAAAAAGCAGACAACGAACATTTTGGTTTGAAATTTATTTCTTACTAACAGATTTTTGGATTCTCTTCTCACTGACAAGCTTTTCAAAGTTGGGAGTGGTACTTGGCAACACAACACAATTGCGTCCTAGGTGACAGTATGGATGATGCGCCACGTGCTTGTGAACACGGCGTAAAACAGCCTAACGGTGGTGCCTCCTCACGCCATGTGACTTTGGACAATGTTCCTATCGACCACTGAAAAACTCCATAGTATATAGACTAACTTGGCTACCCCTCTGAAGCTATCAAATCACAGTAACCATGAACAGAGAACAAATAACATGCCCTTCCCAACTTTAGAATATCTGTCATAACAGCTGTAATTGATATAAAAAGATTATGGAAATTGCTATATTCTCCAGAGATTTTCTATCATTTTTATATGTTTCTGCAGTACCAATAGATTTTAAAGTGGACTATCTTCTGTGCTTAGAACTATCCTGCCAACAATCATTAATATTCCAGTTCCCCATGGCTGTGTCAGATTGTTATTTATATTTGTTATATGGCATTTCTAAATTAGATTATGCGAAAACTGTATCTTGTTTAAAAAGTAAGAATAAGACTCTTAAAACAAATGATGTTCTTCTATGTCCCAAATGCAGCAATTTGTGCCTTTTTTCCTTCTGATTTTGTTTGCTCTTCCAAGGCATGCAGCATGGTTTTTGTTAACCAGTGAGAAGACCAGTAAAATTAATTAAATACTTTGTCAATTCCAGCATGGGACAATCTGGAATCTGACAATGTATACTGAATTATTCCTGTCTATAAACACAGTCATCTAAAGTGAAGCTATTGCATATAGGAGCTGGTGGTCTGATGAGGCTGGATTGAAATTCAGGATACCTTAGTTCTAATAGCAATGCGGCCACTAACTTCTCTGATGTTGAGCAAGTTAATTAACTCCTTCATCAGTTTCCCCATCTGTAAAATTGAGTAATAAATCTTAAAATTCATTATTTTAAAGATATTAAACGGGTGCTGGCTGTGTCTTTTCCAGCTTGAGTAATTATGACAGCTACCATCTTGGATGACACACTGGGTACCTGTAGAGCTAAAAGCATGAACTAAGGTGAGCTAAGGTTTTGTAGTTCTAACATGCTCCTATCTTCCATAGATTAGACATAAATGTGGATTTTAAATATGCATACAAGTGAATTATATCCTCCTTTCTGTGATTAAAGGAAGCTCATCCTGAATCCTTACTTATGTGACGTCTTCCATCTTAGTATGTTCATACAGCCATTCAAAAGTTCTATTCAGTGTTTTAGAAACATTAAATTAGGTAATGCATGCTTTACTGACTTATTTTCTTTTGTTTTCATTCAGACCTCATTGGGTATTGAGAGAAGACCATAGGATTGGGACTGTTGCCAGAGTTCAGTCATTCAAGCAAATGTCTGGTAAATGATGTATTATTATTTGATATTATGGTGGAAGTAGAGTTGTGGGAGGTTAGACTTTGAAAACAGCCCTTTAATGTACAGTATCTGGAGTGGTTTGTCTTTTGTTACTAAACCAAAAAGAAATGTCTTCTCTTTTTGATTAATTATGAGTGATGCAGCTCTTGCTATTATCTGTTTACACATTACTGACCTTGTGATGTGTTAGTGAGAGGTTTTCTTTCATCATCTTTAGATTTCAGATTAAGTCCAATGTCACTTAAAAAGGCTGCTTAATTTATTTGTTTAATGGGCCACTGCATGATCTACTAAAGTGTTTTTATTGTGCTAGTTTCCGTTGAAACCCGTTAACTATTTTGCAAATTGAACATTTGATGCTTGTGAAAGTTCCTTTACTGATATCCCTGGAATCTGAAATTTATTGTTTACAGAGATCTTTAAAGCGACACTAAATTTGAGCCAGAATTTGTGGAATGAAAGTATTTGTGGTTAAATGCAATGGACATGATGCTGTTCCTAAGTGAAACCGAAGGCGTTGGTCAGTGGGAAATTCAGTGAGAGGAAGAGCAGGATCTTTATTGAATGGGGAAGGACTGGAGTAGGTAAGTTATTCACTCTAGGTGAATTTGTTGTTGCTGTTTTTTTGTTTGTGCGTGTGTGTTGTTTTGTTGTTGTTTTGCTTGGCTTCTTCTGTAGGTTAAAGAGAACAGACGAGATTGAAAGCATGCAAATTAAGATGAATTTGCGTGACACTTATTGCTGGGTAGAATCTTATAGGGACAAATGCAGAGTTTTTTCTGTTTGACTCATGGCCGCTGTCTTTCTCTGAAGTATTTGTGGCATTTCAGGAGGCCACTGCATATCCCTTCTGGCTGTTAAAGGTCAGCAATGATAAAGTCACTACCTCTTTCTGAGAGTGCCAGGTGCTCTCAGACAGCAAAGATTTCTAGTGAAGAAATTAATCCATAATAAGGATGATTTCACCAACTAGCTATCAGGTAACTCTGAATCTCCTGGCCTTTGGATAAATAATCAAACAGCTGGTATTAAAGCAGCTGTGGTAATCTAGGCTGTAGTCTCTAGCCTATGTTTGGTCCCAGATTATGTTTCAACTCATATACAAAGAGTGAGGATGGTTAGTAAGGAAAAATGGGATAAAGCATACAGGTTATGCAAAGGACACTCAACTGTATAACTCATTTGTAAGGGAGTCAGTGTCTGGGGTGGTTGAAGCTTGGCTTAGGTCTGGCTAGTTCAGGGGTGGGCAATAATTTTTGACGGGGCCACTTCAAGAATTTGGAAAGTGGTTACGGGCCGCACTCTTCCATGATATTAATGGAGGTAGTGTGGGGTCTGGGATGGAAGCTGGGTGCAGAAGGGAGCTTGGGGTAAGCAAGGGAGTTGAGGTGAAGGAGGCAGTTGTGACCTGGGGCACTGGACTGCGGTGCAGGGGGTTGGATTGTGACCTAGGGCAGGGAGTTGGAGTGCAAGAAGGGGGACAGGGGGTTTGGTTGTGAGCTAGGGCAGGAAGGTATTGTGATCTGGGGCAGGGGACTGGGGTGCTGGATCTGGGATTGGGTATGGGTGCAGAGGATTTGGGTATGTGAAGTAGGGGTGCAGGAGTGGGGAGCAAAAGGTTGGGGAAGGGAGGGGCTGGAGTGCCAGAGGCAGCCTCTGGCCACGAGACTTACCCGCCAGCAGCCCATTCCTGAATCAGGCTCCCTGTCTGCGTCTGCCCTGTCCCCACACAAGCTGCAGCCATATGCTCTGTGAATAACTACCAGCCCCTTGTGCTTCCTGGCTGTTTATTATTGAAACAAGCAGCTCCCATTGGCCAGTTTCTGGCCAGAAGCCAGCCAATGGGATTGTACTGTGTACTAAAGCTTCTCCTTCCTTTTGGGCTCAGTTTTTAAAGTGAAATCGCATTTCTGAACGGCATGTGGGTGGGGCATGGCAAGTGGGGAGCCCGTTTGGGGCTCTCCGCAGCGTACACTGGCCAGATCTGGTGGCTAGGTGGGCTGGATGCAGCCCGTGGGCTGTATTTTACCCAGGGCTGGGCTAGCTGAGGTATAATACAGATAAGAGAAATGTTAGTTCCCTTACGCCGCCCCAGCCCCGAGGCCACACAATCCCCTCCCCTGCCGGCCCCAGCTCTTTGGTGCCTCCCCCGGCTCCTTGGGCCCCCCTGACCCCAGCTCTTCTCCCCACCAGCTGCTGGGGAGGGTCTGAGGCCACCCTGGCTCTTGCCCCCCCAACCAGCCACAGCTCTTGGTCCCCCTCCAGCCGCTGAGAGGTGCCGGGTCGAAGCTGCACCAGTCCTGGTTTTTCCCCCGGCCACTGGGAGGTGTTGGGCACCAGCCTTGTCTCTTCTCCCTGCCCTGCCACCAGGGAGGCCTGGGCCAAGGCTGCAGCCACTATGACTCTCTCCCCAGCTGCTGGGAAGTGGAGGGGAGAGCTGGGCACCCCAGATCTCCACGTGGATCCTGGGGAGGGCCAAGCTCGGAGTGGGTGGGACTCGGCTCCTGTGAATGCAGAGTGACTTGATGATGTCACTGTCATCTCACAGGAAATTTTTTTGTTATATATATATATATATAAAGAGAGAGAGAGAGAGAGATGTCTTTGAATATGAATATACATGACATGAATATGCTTTATGCAACGCAGGTCAAGTAACCTATCATTCAAGAGCCTGTAATCCCCAGATTGTGTATATTCTATTTGTGTGCATGTATTATTCATGTTTGTGAAGTTAGAAATATGAAATATACTTATTAATCTACAATTTCCAGTGAGAGTCATTATTGGTGCTGAAAGGACTTATTGCTCCAGTGTTCAAGGCAACAATCTGTAAATGGTTTTGTGTTTACTGTAAGTGCAGACTGTGGTTGGTCCTACAAAGACATGTGATCATGCCACCTGGTGCTGGAATCCATTTTGGTTCTGGTAATTTTATATAGGGATGGGGATTCCTGCTCGGGAAATTCTGTTTAAGGAATGGGAAGCAAGCAACAATTGTCTTTAGCTGGCTTTTGATACAGCTTCTCCCACCCTATGGAGGACACACATGAAAAAGCCTTAAAACAAAGAACTCTAAATATACAAAAAGCTGCTAGACCCGGACCAGAGAAAAAGTCAGCTATGGTTTGAAGGATTTTTCCTGAAATAAGAAATAGGGCGAGAACTATCATTTGAAACGATTTTTCTTAGGCTGTGTCCAGACTCAAGGGTTTTTTCGAAAAAAGTAGCCTTTTTCAAAAAAACTTCACTTGCGTCTAGACTACAGCCGCGTTCTTTCGAAATTAAATCGAAAGAACGCGGCTTTTCTTTTGACGGCGGTAAACCTAATTTCACGAGAAAGAACGCCTTTTTTCAAAAGTGCTCTTTCGAAAAAAGGCGTTCTTGAATGCAAACAGGGCTTTTTAGAAAGAGAGCATCCAGACTGCCTGGGTGCTTTCTTTCGAAAAAGCGGCTTGCTTTTTCGAAAGTACTGCTTACAGTCTAGACGCTCTTTTTCGAAAGAGGCTTTTTCGAAAGTATCTGTCGAAAAAGCCTCTTTTGAAAGAGGCTAGCAGTCTAGACGTAGCCTACATGTATAGTCTTAGGGAGGGAGGGAACTATCCCTACCAGCTGGGAGAGACTTACTGCTCTGTCCTCAGTAGGGAACTGTTGCTGTTGTTGTGGGAGAATTGCCCCTCTCCCAGCCAGGCAGCTCCATTAGGGGAGCCCTGAGCCCCTAGATTAGTGGGGCTGATTAAACAGCTGCAGGGCCATGCTGCCACGCAGTTAGAAGGAACCTGGTAGGGAGTCCCCAGCACTACTTCCAAGATCTGGGTCACAATTCAGAATCACTCGCAGGCGTTTACTGGTTTAAGTTAAGCCTCCCGGCTTTGACTTCTTAACTCCCCTACTGTCCAGGTCTTCCTTGTAGAAGCCTTCTTCTATTTTTTGCTGCCTTTTATAAGGGAATCAGTTGTCATCTATCAAGCCCAATCCAGGCTGTTCAAGTGGCATAGGTAGGCTGGAGCAGTGCCCCAGGCTTTTAGCTCTTAAATGGGAAGCCATCCAGTAACAACACTGGACATTGTTCTTTTAGTTGAGATTTATAGGCAAAATCCTGACCCCACTGAAGTCAGTAGAGTTATTGCGGTTGACGGGGGCCAGGATTTTACCTATAAATAAAGATCTTCCTTGTTTTGGATTATGGTGAGAGTTCTCTTGTTCCTTTCGTAGTGCTTTTTGATATATTTACTCCCTGAAGTAGAGGCTAAGACTTATGATTTCATAGTCAGTTTTTAAATATTTTCTTTTTGAGGGCTCCTCTATGGTTCCTGGAGGAAATCTTTCATTTAGACTATGCTATTTATGTGTAAACAAATCTGAATATGATTAGGTTTGAATATTCTAGATTGCTTGCCATTTTCTTTGTAAAGATGTATGAGACTAGAGAGAGAACATGACTTTAATTAATATGGAGCTAGATTTCTCTACTGCAGGAGTCTTCTTGTCTACTTGTAGCTGTCTTCCTCAACACACCCACATTACTAATATATGTAGGATCAAAGATTTCTGAATATTGCTGTTTTACAGCAGGTTGGAACCTAGTTTTCACTGACTGACATAAAGGTCCTTCCCTGCCTGTTTCATAGCTAGGCCAATATCCTATTTACATTTTATTTTATCCTTTTAATACTTTGTTTTATTATTTATTACCATAGTGCATACGAGTTTCAGTCATGGACTAGACCCCATTGTGTTGTGTGCTGTGCAAACACAAAACAAAAATATGGTTCCTTCTCCAAAGAACTTATAGTCTGCATGTAAGAATAGACACATTTAGAAGAAGAGATGGAGGGGAATACAAGGAGAATGCTGGTCAGCACAATAGTGGTCTCATTAGAGACCTCATTGCCCCTAAAGCTCAGGAATTACAATGATGGGCAACAGTATAATGCTTTAATATAAATATTTATTCTTACCATTTTTTATTTTTTATTAAAAAATGAGGAAGTTAGGCACACACAAGCAAAAGACCAAACTGTCTCCAGTACATGTCCTGGAGCTCCAAGAACTCAAGACCCACAGTGCAGTTTGCCTCCAAAAAGATAAAAAATAAATATTTCCTTTTGTTTTGTTCAAATACATGTTTTTAATCTGTCACTTGGATCCAAGTATGCTAACATAAATAATACTTTATATACCTAGCTAAACAACAATTCTAGAATGTCATTACAATATTATGCATAAGGTGTTTTTATTGAATTGCACTCAAGCATTATGATGTTAGTTTGAAAATGATTTTCAAAATGTTTTCAACTTTAAAATGGTTTTTGATAGAGTTGAGAATTGAAAGAGACTCCAACTATTACTGCTTTTAGTCTTCCCCAGATGTTCTGCTTACACAGCAGGTAAATAAAAAGGATATATTGTTACCTGAATGCTCAACAAACTCCCACCTTTGGCAATAACAATACTTGCATATGCACCTCAAAGAGGCAGTACCCTAACTACTATAGTTATGTCTGCCATACTGTATCACAGGTAATAATGTCACAGCATCTATTTATGATCTGGATAAACAAATACAGATCTTGCTAA